AGCACTGTGTCTCCAGCATAGGTATTGCAGGCCCATGGTAAATATTTGTTGAATGAATGAAAAAATGTCTTCCTCACTTGACTATGAGCTACTTGAGAGGACTGGCTGCACGGTTCCTGAGGGTTTTTTTTTTCCCCTTCTTCTTCTTTGAGACAAGGTCTCTTTTTGTCGGCCAGGCTGGAGTACAGTGGTGTGATCTCAGCTCATTGCATCCTCCACCTCCAGGGCTCAAGCGATCCTCCCACCTCAGCCTCCCGAGTAGCTGGGACCACTGGCATGTACCAAAATGCCTGGCTAATTTTTGTGGTTTTTTTAGAGACCAGGTTTCACCGTGTTTCCCAGGCTGGTCTCAAACTCTTGGGCTCAAGCCATCTGCCCACCTCAGCCTCCCGAAGTGTGGGGATTACAGGCGTGAGCCACCGTAGCTGGTCCTGAGTTGTTGGTTTGTTTTTTAGTTAAATTGAATTAAAATGCATAGGAGAAATACGTAACCAAACCTGGCAAACCAGAGAGACTTCCCAGAGGAGATGATGCCTGAGAGCTCGAAAGGTTGAGAAAGTTATCTAGGCAGAAGGAATGTGGAAGTGGAAGGCATTTCAGGCAAGAGCAAAGGTCAAGGGGGAAGTCTGCTATGTTCTAGAAACTGCTAGTCATTTGGCTGCAATTTAGGGTTCATGAGGGACAGTGGCTGCGGGAGGAGGCCAGGTCATTTATTTGCGTGTTCATTAATTGATTTGGTAGACACTGATACGTACAGTGTGCTGAGTCCTAAAGGTGGGAGATGAACTGGACACCCTTGCGCTTGAGGAGTTTGTGAATTATCTAGAAGATGCTTTATCTTAGATGGAAAGCCTCTGAGGATTTTAATAAGGGATAGTTGGGGGTAATGATAAGATATATATTCTGAAACACTAGGACAGTGTGTCTCAAATCATCTGTGGTGAAGGACATTTTTCTATTTTTACTTCCAATCCATCAGAGACTGATAAAGATAATAAAATTATAAAGGCAAAATACAAGGCCATGTTTCCTCATATTAGATTCAACAGCATATAATTACTGTAAAATTGTTATGTAAGTTTTTTAGTGTCTACTTTCAGTTTCCATTCTCATCATAGACCGGGGTAAGTGTAAACAGCACTTGGTTTGCAGACTATCCTTTAAGTAGCACTGTTCAAAGAGATCACCTTAGCTGCAGATGGAGAATTGATTGGAGGAGGATTGAATGAGGGCGAGATCAGCAGGGAGGCTATTTCTCTGATCCAGCCAAGTGACAGCGGGTAGGCTGGACTGGGAAGTGGCAACAGAGACAGAAATTTTGGAGGTAAAAGCCACAGATTTGGTCAAGGGGAGTTGGGAGTCAAGGGGAAAGATAGGAATTAAGATGCCTCCCAGGTTTCTGGCTTGAGAACAGCTGGGTTGGGTGATGGTGATATTGACTGAAATCTGGACTGGAGAAGATAATGTTTGAGGGAGGGCCAAGAGTTCAGTACTGAGGTAAGTTTGAGGTACATGGGGGACCTCCAGTAGGAGATGTCCAAAAGGCGACCAGTTTTGGAGCTGGTTGTGGTCTTTAACTGAGAAGAGAGACTTTCCTGATCTAGTCTAGCATTGACTCCTTCCTTGGGTCTCTGACAGACCCAGCTGGTGGTAGTGCTGTTTGTCTCTGGGGGAGGTCTGTAGGATTGGGGGTATGGGAGAAGGGAGGAAGGGGCATTGGCAGGCCTGCCTATGTTGGGAGTAGGATTCAGGCCCAGCTTCTGTAGAGATGCCTGACCTTGGCAAACTCTGGGGGAGCAGCAAGTCCCACTGTCCCCACTGGGTGGCAGTAGTGCTTCAGACAAGAGTTATATGGACTAGGGGCTGCTGGGCCTTTCTCCAGGTAATTAGCCATCTGTCCTACTCCAGAGTTGACCTTTGGACTCCACAGAAGCACTTACATGTGGGCCCCTCACCTTAACCATGGGGGCAGGAGTGTGTGTCCCATGACTGAGGCTCTGGAGCTGGACACAGTGCAGTTGCTCCTGGAATGAATCAGGGGGAGGCTACAGTCCCAAACCCTGCTAGGACCTCTAGTCAAGCAGACAGGTTCTTTCCTCACTCCATGCTGCAGGGGCACAGGCCCAGGGGCTGGCAACAAACAGGAGGAGCTGTGGTCACTGGGGGCTGGAACCTGCTAGACATGATATGATGTGGGCATGCCCCTACTGTGTCCCTCTGTGCCAGCAGACTGTGCAGGTGCCTGTGTACTCAGAGCAGGAGTACCAGCTTTATCTCCACGATGATGCTTGGACTAAGGCAGAAACTGACCACCTCTTTGACCTCAGCCGCCGCTTTGACCTGCGTTTTGTTGTTATCCATGACCGGTATGACCACCAGCAGTTCAAGGTGAGCCACTGTGCATTTGCATGTGTGCCCAGCTTCTCTAGCAGGCCCTTTTATGCCATCTCTTCCACATGCCCCTGAATGTTCATTCCTCTACCCTGTCTTGCTTCTCAGAAGCGTTCTGTGGAAGACCTGAAGGAGCGGTACTACCACATCTGTGCTAAGCTTGCTAACGTGCGGGCTGTGCCAGGCACAGACCTTAAGATACCAGTATTTGATGCTGGGCACGAACGACGGCGGAAGGAACAGCTTGAGCGTCTGTACAACCGGACCCCAGAGCAGGTCAGCCCAAGGCCACATACCTGTCCTCCATGCCCCAAACTCCTTGCCCATTGCCTCCATCCTCCGTACCCCTCAACTCCCACTCCAGGTCCCCCTGCCTCTCACTGATACCCTATTAACTGCCCCAGGCCCATTCTTACCTCTCATGGGCCATCCCCCCTGCTTTTCATAGCCCTTCACCTCCCTCATGATCCCTTACTTCTCAGATTCCCTCACAGACACCCCAGCACCCCATCACCTCCGTGTCTACCCTCACTCCTAGAAGTGCCCTCACACACTTTGCATCCCTCACTTTCCCAGGTGGCAGAGGAGGAGTACCTGCTACAGGAGCTGCGCAAGATCGAGGCCCGGAAGAAGGAGCGGGAGAAACGCAGCCAGGACCTGCAGAAGCTGATCACAGCGGCAGACACCACTGCAGAGCAGCGGCGCACGGAACGCAAGGCCCCCAAGAAGAAGCTACCCCAGAAAAAGGAGGCTGAGAAGCCGGTGCGGAGGCTCAGCCAGCCCAGCTCAGGGTGGAAGGGTCACCTGGCACAAGGCCCCACCCCGAGTGGAGGGTTCTGAGAGCACCCAGTGCTGATGGGGTGCTGGGACTAACCCTGGGCTCTCTCCCCGTGACACTTTGATCTCCATAATGCCTTCTCCCCTAGGCTGTTCCTGAGACTGCAGGCATCAAGTTTCCAGACTTCAAGTCTGCAGGTGTCACGCTGCGGAGCCAACGGGTACGTGAGTCACCTCCTTTAGCATGTTTGGGCCCTGGGTTCTGCTCTGGGCTCCATGTGGCCCAAACGCTGAAGGCAGGTGGGGATGGAGCGGTAGGAGAGATTGCTGCAGACAGAGGTGGCCTTGCCAGGATCTCAGTGATGTTGCCAGGCTAAGGTCACAGCTTTCACTATATTCAGCTTCCTGGCTATTTCCTTTTCTGGCCCATAGTTAACCTCCATGTGTTACCGTCTCTTCCACACCTCTTTCCCACTGCCTTTTGTCCCCTTCATCCTAAGTCTCTTGTGGCTGGGAGAGGCTCAGCTTGCCAGCTTTCATTGCAGATGAAGCTGCCCAGCTCTGTGGGACAGAAGAAGATCAAGGCCCTGGAACAGATGCTGCTGGAGCTTGGTGTGGGTGAGTGTGGGGACTGGGCCCCACAGGGTGTACCCACCCGAGGCTGTGGATAAAGGCTGGGCACGGGGAGGGGAGTTCACGTGGCTGGCCCTCTACCACACCTGGGCTCTGCCCCTGTGCTGCCCGCCACCTGCCTGCAGAGCTGAGCCCGACACCTACGGAGGAGCTGGTGCACATGTTCAATGAGCTGCGAAGCGACCTGGTGCTGCTGTACGAGCTCAAGCAGGCCTGTGCCAACTGCGAGTATGAGCTGCAGATGCTGCGGCACCGTCACGAGGCACTGGCCCGGGCAGGTGTGCTGGGGGGCCCTGCCACACCAGCATCAGGCCCAGGCCCGGCCTCTGCTGAGCCAGCAGTGACTGAACCAGGACTTGGCCCTGACCCCAAGGACACCATCATTGATGTGGTGGGCGCACCCCTCACACCCAATTCGGTAAGAGCCTGGACAGGCTGGGAGGCATGCCTTGGCCCTGTGAGTGAGCGCATGCACATGGGTGTAGGGGCTCCTCTCCCTCTAGTACCTGCAGCAGGGATGATCATCACTTCTGTGTGGGTCTGAGACTGAGGGGTAGGAGTGGGTTGACCAGTGGGTGTCCTTGTCCCTGAGCACGTGAAACACATGCACTAAGCCTGACTCAGGCCTTGGGGGTCACTGACCTCAGTGCCTTCTGTGTGTCCTCAGAGAAAGCGACGGGAGTCGGCCTCCAGCTCATCTTCTGTGAAGAAAGCCAAGAAGCCATGAGAGACCCCACGGGGTGTGGGCGACGCTGTTATGTAAATAGAGCTGCTGAATTGGACCAGGCTGCTTCCTTTTCCTTTCCTTCACTTCTGATGCCCCTAGTGGGAAGGGTGGGCCAGGAGGGGATTGTCACAGCCACTCCACAGGGTGGCAGGTAGGTTTGCCTGTGTTCAGGCCCTTCGCAGCTCTCTGACCACTAACCACTATGAGTTTCACCCAAACTCCTGCACCTCAGAGCACCTGTGGTTTACACTTAAGATGGCTTTGCACACAGCCTGTACTGATAGTCCCCGCACTGCCACAGTTGTGTGCATATTGAGTGAGGGTGTCACAGGTGCTGCAGTGACGGCCAGTCACACACGGATGGCCTTGTGCACAGAGGCAGTCTGGAGCATGCTCTACCTACCTTCACATCCTGACAGCTTTGGCGCAGCAGCAGCCTCACATACACAGACGGCTTTGCACACACACCCACTGCCTCGTTTCCCCGACTTTATTCAGTGGCACGTTCACAGCGGGGATGGGGGTAGACACAAGGTGGGGCCTGATCTGTCCTGGAGCCCTGGGGGCACCACACACCATGCACTATGGATGGGAGGGGGCACAGGGGGGGCTTGGTGGCCCCACAGAAGCCTGTGTACCAGGGAGGAGGCGGTGAGTGCCTGGGTTCCCCTAGCCCAGGCCCGCAATGGGAGGGGCTAATACTGGGCTGAGATTGAGGGGTGGGGATGGGGGGCACAAAGTGTCTGCTCCAGAAGGGCCAAGTGGCCAAGCCCTTGCAAGGGCACAAGCCCACGCCAAGGGCACAAGCCCACAGGGCAGCTGGGGGACACTCTGGATGCAGAGCTATGCCACTCTCCCTCTTCCCCTCTGGTGAGGGAGAGGAGAATTCTGGGCTGGGCCAAACAGCTACCCTGTCCTGCCCCATCCTGTCCTCGGCCAATCAGAACGGCTTCGATGTCTGCTTGAAGATGAAGCCTCGATAGGCGAGTGTCTTCATGATGTTGGCAATGTTCTTGCAGTCGTCTAAAAAGGAGAGAAGACATTTAGATCGGCCCCAGATCCTTCCCCTCCATGCCCACAGGTGCTCTTACAAGGGCGGGGGTGGGAAGCAGGGTCAGATTCAGGAGCCACAGGCTTTAGAGAGGGTGGTCTCATCCCCTGGTGGCAGCATCCCTGGCTTCAGGTTGGGCTGGGTGATGCTGGGCCAGCAGGAAGCCTGGTCTCGATGCTTCTCAGTTCCATAATTCATGCTGGAAATTGGCCGGCATGTCCCGCCCCAGCCCCAGCGGTGATGTATGGGCGCCGTCGCAGTAAGAAAAAGGCAGAGTAAATGTGTAATTTCTCCCTTGACGGCCCCCGGCCGCTGGGCGATCCTTCTTGTTGCCGCCGCGTGGGGACGGCCCGTCCGCCACACTCCGTCTTCCCGCCACCCGCCTTGATGTCTCCATTTCATTACTGGGCGGCCATTCATCACACCCACGGCCAGGGTGACTTTGCCGGCACTTTCGTGTGTGTGGAAGATGTGACCCAGGCCATAATCACTAGTGACAAGGCACAAGGCTTGGCACTGCTGGGCCAGGGCCCTGGGAAACACACCTACCCTGTGTCCTGGGCTTGTGTGCTCAAACAGCAACTTGCCTGGGCACCTGTTCTGTGCAGCTCCGATAGGATGGGGAGGGTCCAGATTTGTGGTCCTCCTCATAGCCTTGGCCATCAGCCCTCTACCAGACACTCCTGTATACGTCAGCGGAAGCCCTGCCTCTGTCCTAGTAGGCTCAAAGTGGGTGCTAGTCCCTTTTTGGGCCCTGTTTCTGCCCATACCTTGTGGAATGTCTGCCTGTATTAGACTATCACAAACAGTTTCTCCAGTATTGGATGCTTTCAACTGTCCTAGAACCCTGGAGGCTGCAGGATCAGGCCTCTGGGGCCTCAGTATCATGGACATGGGCCAGGATTTGTTTCACCACTGCCACCACCAGCAGGAGGTGCACCTGCCCAGAGCTTATTCAACTAGAGGAAACCTAGGAGAGAAGCAGCCTGAGTGCCTTGAGTTTTTCTGTTCAGCTGCCCACGCAGCCACCAACTCATTATCCCCTCACCTGCCTCTTCTCCCATCTCCCTTAGCTGCTCCTGGGCCATAACCAGGGCCTCAGCCACCACCAGCCTTCATAGGATCGATGCTGTGATTGTAGAAATATTGTACATCAATGTCATAATCAAGTGTGGGGGGTAATAAGCTCAAGGTGGGGTCAGGAGTTCTCTGCCTGTCAAGGCCCACCTTTGCCAGGACCTTAGCCTAGGAAGGGGACCCTCCAGCACTAGACAAGGGCAATAAGAGGCGCAGTCTCTGGTCGGCCCACACCCTGCATCACTAGCCAGATCCTAGCTCTGCGGAGCCTGCTTTGGGCAGGCAAGTCAGAAAGGGTCCTGTCTCGCAGAGCTCAGTGTGGATGTACCTGCAGTGGATGTGGGCATGGAGAGGTGACACCTTCCCCCAGGGACTCAGGAAGCTGTAGGGGCTGGTCTGAGGCAGAACAGTGGGAAGACAGATGGGTGGGTAGTGGCGGCCATGGCAACTCCAGACGTGACCCATCTCCGTGGTTTATGGGCCGGACACGCACCCCGCTCAGCTGAGGCCCCATCATTTGTCTCTCTTAGTGTGTGCGCCTGTGCTGTGGGGGTAGAGGGTGGAGGAGGGAGGGGCTGTGCTAGGCAGTTGACAGGAAGGGGAATGGGACAGGAAGGGGCCTAAGAGGGGGAGGGGTTAGGATGGGGCCCATGGGCTGTGGTGGTGCCAATAGAGGGACTATGATAGGGTGATTTTCTTGCCAAACAAGTCTGGCCCTTTCAGGGCACCTCCAATCCTTCCTGTCTCCTGTACCCTAGGGACCATGGCCGCTGTGCATATTAAGAATAAGTCCCCTCGTTATCTGCAATTACCCAGCGGCCACACACCTCATTTCTTCCAGCAGAAAAGAAAATTAGTTTTCTATTGACTTCATCTGGCTCCTCCCTCATTGCTGGACAAATCATTCAATTTGCTTCCCCTGGCCCAAGTGAATGTCCCAGCCCCAACCCCCGGGCCACCAGCCATCCAGTGGGCAAGCACTGATCTCCCACCTGTGCCTGGCCCTGTGCTGGGAGAGGGTCCCCATGTCCCAGTCTCTGTCCTTGACCTCTCCCCACTCTACACACTGGATGACTTCATCTAAATTGTGAGTTTCGGCTACTCCCTGAAGATCACCGTCTCCAGCCTGAACAGCTCCTGGGCTCCACACCACATATTCCTGAACATCTCTTTCTAGATAAACCCTAAACGTCCAATCATGAGCTAATTTTCTCTCCAAGCTGCTGCTTACCCCTCAACCTGCTATGTTCTCTGTCCCAGTGAATGGCACCATAATCCACCCAAAATGCTCAAAGAAGAAATCTGAGTCATGTTGCCACTTTGCTCTCTCCCTCACTCTCCAAATCTAATCAAGTACGAACTTCTGCAGATTTTCTCTTCTTAGTCTCTGCCTAATCATCTTGGATTACAACAGCTGTCCTCTTTCTCCCCCGAATTCATTCTCTTACAGCCAAAGTGATTTTTCTGACATAAATCTGATCATGTTCTTCTTCCTTAAAGCCATTCAATGGCTCTCCTTGCCCTCAGTTTAAAGTCTACACTCCGTAATGTGTCTTAAAGACTCCACAAAAATTGATCCCTGCTATTTCTGGTCTCTGCCATACTCAACCCTCAATCCCTGGACTCCAATCTAAAGGACCCTCACTCACTGTTTTCTGAAAATGACAAAGTGGGTTTTGGAGCCAGAAAGACATGTTTCCAATCTAAACTTCACCCACTGGCTGCATAACACGCAGCAAGGGCTTAGCGTCTCTAATACTTAGGTTCCTCTACTAGGGTGATAATGGCCTTGCTGTTATTGTGAGGACTGAACAAGGTGTTGCACCCATATCTTTGCACATGCTGTTCTTTATGCTTGGAATACCTCCTCTTTCTGAAGAAAAGGCAAGGAAGCTAGTTTTCTGGAGGAACTAGTGGTGAGAAAGTGTATACAACTGATAGCACAGATGACTGATAGGGGCCGGCAGACTTGGTGAAACCAAATTGGCATTCACTCCAAATTCTGACTTCGGATCCTGTTTACTGGGTATTTCTGGAGTCTAACTTGTTGCAGTTGGCCCACTACAATAAAGAGAAACCAGGGAGAGGAAGAAATTTGCTCCAGTTCACCTAGCAAGTCAGTGGAATGGCAGCCATGGACTTCCAGCTCCAGGCTCTTCTTCCAGCCCTTGAAGCCTTGATTTTTTTTTTTTTTTTTTTTTTTTTTAAGTCTATGGCCCTACTAGAAAGTGAGGAAGCTTGGCAGAAGCACTAGAGACAGATCTGGGGCTTTTAATAGGCCAAAAATTCAGAGAGAGTGAGCAGCAGGGTGAGTCTGGTGGCAACATAGTCTCTTGGAAAGTTTTCTGCTTGAAGCTCTGGGGGCCACCTGGGTTAGCAGGCTTGCCTTCCAGGACCTCTCATTGAGCTACGGAGGCCAGCATGAAGCTGCTGTAGGGTGAGAGTGGGGTGGCAGGGAGCACAGCCTTGCACCCACAATAGAGGCCTCCAAGAGTAGGTCTACCTCACCTTCAAATTCTAGAAGGCTAACCTTTGGTTTTGTTTCCTTTTGTTTTGTTTTGAGACAGTCTCGCTCTGTCACCCAGGCTGGAGTGCAGTGGCGTGACCTCAGCTCACTGCAACCTCTGCCTCCAATTCTTGTACCTCGGCCTCCCAAAGGGCTGGGATTATAGGCGTGAGCACCTTGCCTGGCCAGGCTAACCTGTTTTTATGTTTCTGCAGGATCATCAATTTGTGACAAGATGACCCTCTCCTCTTTTTTGAGGCATTAATATTCTCAGTGTTGGAAATATTTTTATATTGCCAGGACCATAATGTGAGGAGTGCAGCTGCATAAATCCCTGAGAGAAGATTAGTGGGGCTAGCACCTAACAAGGAAGGATAAGCTTGTTGGCTGGGCCCAAGGACAGTCAAATGTCTGCCTGACAAAGAATCTGCACACAAAAGAGTTGCTCAGATCACTTAGGACACCCAGAAAGAGCTCACAAAGGGCAAACAACCTGAGGCTGATATTCTTCATTAGTGGTACTTACCTGGGAACTGAGTGGTAGTGGACAGGAAGCAGGGCCTGGACTAGGGAGACCCTCAGGAGGAAGGGGACCCAAGAAGTGAGAAGTCCATTCATTCATGTACTCATTCATTCAGCAAACATGCACTGACACCTTCTGTATGTTCAGTGATCTTGTACCATAATGCTTCTGAGGGATGTGCAAGACTCTGTAGCTCCCTGCCCTCAAGGAACTCAAAGACAGCCCTGTCAGGTGTGCAGTGCTATGAGAAAAGGATGCATGGAAAAGTAATCTAGTTCTGTTTGAGGATTAGGAAAAGACTCCAGAGTTAAGCAGAGGTCTCAGGGGATGGGAGAGGGAGCTAGCCCACCCAGTTAGGGTTGGGGTGAGGAAGGTGTTCTCAGCATAGGCACATTTATGGAGGTGAAATGTGGAGTGTCCAAAAAAAATTAAGTTTATCAGATGGGTGGGGGTGATGAAGAATCAGAAGGGAGTGTCAAGAGATGAAGCTGGTGGTCAGTGACTGACTAAAGGGAATCCTAAAGAACCCAAATGCTAAACTAAGGAGCTTAAGATGTTAATATTCTGAGAATGATGGACATTAACATGTTTAAGGAGGGGAATGACAGTACCAGATCTGTGTTTCAGAATTACCATCCTAGATGTGAGGACCGCATTAGAAGGATTAACCCTGAAGGCAGACAGATCAATTAGCAGATTGTACTGTGGTCCAGACCAGAAATAATGGCCCAGAACTAGGCCAGTGGCAGTGGAAATGGAGAAGATCTATTGATGATGTGGGGGAAGTGGATGGAGGTAAGAGAATTTTTAGGAAATAGAATGAGCAAGCCTTAATGGGGGGATTAGGATGGCAGAGGGAAAGCATC